TCAGCCTCCCCTCTTGAGCCTCACGAGGCTAATGCAGTAGCCACAAGTGGCTATTTAAACTTAAATCAGTGGAAATGAAGCTCGATCACAACTCCAGTTTCTCAGTCACCGGAGCCACATTTCAAGTGCTCAGCAGCTGCGGGGGTCTGAATCTGCTCTGTTGGCCGGTGCAGAGACAGAACATTTCTGTCGCCACGGGAGGTTCTCTAGAGCAGCACTGCTTGGGGAGGGAGGTGTTTGGCCCTTGTCCCTCCTAGTTGCTACTACTCCCCAGCTGAAAGGCAGAGAGAGAGCAAGCACAGGCAGGTACTGAGAGAGCAAATCAGGGTGTGCCTGAGGAGGAAGAAACTTGCCTACCTCTAGCTCCTTCAGGAGAGATGCTCGAGTTGCTATGGAAACACATCCTGGACAGAGGGAGAGGTAAGAAGTGGTTAGAGCTGGCAAATAGGAGGCAGCAAGCAGCCCTAGGGGGGCAAAGGTTACTGACTTTTTGGAAGGTGAATTAGACATAAACGTCTATTCTCACCATGAGAGGTCCTTCTCGGAGGACTCTAATGGGGTCAGTGCAGAGAGGCACTCCTTAGCCCCCTTCTGAAGGGAGCCCTACTTTGAGGATATTCCCATATAGAAGTTCTGAGGTGCCCTCCAACTAGATCCTATGGGGGAAAGGGGCCGCTTGACAATTTGCTACCCTGAAGACATGAAGTCACAGTTGCACCACTCAGGAAAGGACTTCAGCACTTGCTTTTGTACACTCTGTGTTACTAGAGCAGGATACCAGAGACCGGGTAATTTAGAAAGCAGAGAAATGTATCCCTTCCAGTTCTAGATGCTGAGAAGCTCAAGGCCAGGGGACCCACACCTGGTCAAGAGCATCGTATGCTCCCCCACAGTGGGGGGCAAAGGACCTAAGAGCAGATGTGTGACAGAGAAGGCAGGAAAGCCAAGCTCATCTTTTCATCAGGAAGCCATTCTGCTCCTAACTAACCCAGGTCATGACATCAGCCTCATCCACTCACAAAGGCAAAGGCTCTCAAGGCCTAATCACCCTTGCAGGGTTCTCACCCCCAAATACATTCCCCTTCCTCTTTCTTTCTCCCTCAACCCTGAGGAGTTGGGGTAGAGGGTAGGAAATCAAGAAGAATTACGGATCACTTACCTCTTGTTCACTGCAGACTCCAAGACTAAATCCGACCTAGACCTGCTTGTCGAAACGGATCCTGGCCATGAAATGGGGCAACACTGAACTGCACGTCAGCCCCTGAACTTGACAGGGACATCATCAGGACAGGGAAGGGAGAACCAAGAGAATGGACAAGAAACCCTTTGAACTCAGAAGGTTCCAGAAGAAATGCATGAGAAAGGTGCAGCCCAGGTAGGACAGTGGAGTGCAAAGACCACAGGGAGGTGATGGCTGCTGCATGGTATTAATGGGACAGGAAGTGCCTGCTGTTTGGGGGAAACAACAACAAAAACAATGAAACAAAACAGGAAAGCGGTCACTGGCCAGAGGAATGCAGAGAAAGAAGGGTAGCTGTCACGACAGGGCTGGAGACTAGATCCACAGCAGTCACATGCCAGGCAGTGCTCTACACTGAGCCATGTCCCCACCCTCAGCTTTCCAATGTGCCCTAGTGGCTGGCTGAGCCAGAATCCTAACCACCACACGTTGATCCTACAGAGGTATGGGGGGGGGGGGCTTCCCAGAGCTCACATAGTTCTGACAGACTGCTTCATGGGACAGAGGCTAAAGATGCCTTCCAAAATCCATCCTATCCCTTTCTTAACTAAGAGAACACTACATGTTAGAACTTTCCAGAAGGCAAAGCAACCAAGCACAAAGCCTTCCTTCTCAGACCATGAGGTAACCTCAAAGCCATATGTAAAGTTAAAACCCTAAAGGCGTTTGTGTGCCCAGAAAGACTGCAGTCTACTTATCAGCCAGGGAGAAGAGAGGCTCATATTTCAGATTTTCTGTCTTTGGGCAATGCCTTACAAAAACTGGGAAGTCAGAAAACCCGTCGGGGAGGTTATATAAAGCCCCACATGCTGCATTCAGTATCATTTGCCCAAAAAGTTCCTGAAGGGAGTTGCCCAGATGTATAGAGAAAGGTCATTTCCAGGACCACCGTCCTCAGGCTAGACTTAGACTTGGGAATCCAAATACCTGGAAGCATGGAGGGACCACCTGTGCCTGCAGTGCGTTCTGGAAGGAATGGGCTTCCAGGGTCAGCTTTCATCATCACTGGTGGGGTCAGAGAGTTCTCTCTCTCTCTCTCTCTCTCTCTCTCTCTCTCTCTCTCTCTCTCTCTCTCTCTCTCTCTGTGTGTGTGTGTGTTCTTTCTTCCAGTGCCCATTCACCTGCCAGGAAGGGGGAAAATCTATCCCAGCAAGGGTACAACCAATTCCCTTTCTTAATTAGAGGAAAACATTTGTAAAGCAGAGGAACAAGAGGCATAGTTGCTTGAAGAGAGTTTGCAAATTATCTCTAAGCACAAAGCCAGCACATTAACGAAGGTGACGGGGCTGTAGAATGTTCTAGGCTAATGCAGAGGGCTTCTGCCAGTCACAGCTGGGGGCTTCTAATCCCCTCACTCAGAGCTGACCATGCAGGCACAGGTGGAATACATAAACCCAAGCTCTCCAGGAGTCAGAGGACAGAAACCTATCATTTCCAACGCTCCGGAGAGCCTAATGGCTGCAGGAGAGCATTCACATAAATAACCATTTCCTGGTACCGCAGATTAGATTTCATACCCCACAGCCCAGGACCAGCTTAAGTGGAGAGATATGAAGAACGGGTCTTTATTCAAAAGCAAGATTTACTTCTAATCCACTAATAAGCATGCAAATAAAATTTTCCAGGCTCTGTGCCCTGGGGAAGAAAGCGCTTGCTCAAGACCATTTTCTGACCTTGAAGGTTTCTGGCATTGACTGTGGTTGCAGTTAGCCTTGGCAGATCCTAGGGTTTCTTTCTCTAACAGGTTATCAATAGATGGTGGCTGTGTCCATAGCCTGCACAGCCAAGGAAAACATGAACAGTTTTAGACAGCTGCGAGCCAAAAGCACTTCCTTTAGAAAGTGATTTTAATTTGTGATTTTTTTTAAACTCAAAACTTTTTTACTTTGCCATGAAACAAAAGCCATCTGCATCTGGCATACTTCCCTGATGATCTTTCCCAAATATTTCTCTGAGCTGGAAGTACGTGGTATGTGAGCCATCACCTGTCACACTTCCTCTTCTCTCTTCCACCCACCCAGGAAGCAGAGTGAGTTATGCGATAAAAAGGGTGAAGTACCAATGGTATAGAGTACACTGATGCCAGGGTTTTTCTATTATATATGCTTCATATATAATATATATTAATATTAATGTTGAACAAACTGCAAATTTGTTCTAGCCTAATTTGCAAGTTCTAGACTAATGAGAGACCTTCTCTCAAAATACAAGGTAGGCAAGTTTTAAGGAATGACACCTATGTTTGACCTCTGGCCTCCACGTGCAAATGTGAGCCTGTACACACACACACACACACACACACACACACACACACACACACACACACACACACACACTTGAAATAAGTAACTAATAAAATTCAGTTCAGGATGTTTTAGAGTAGTGAACTTAGAGGAGGTTTATTGAGTTGTGGCCCAGCTGTACATCAAGGTTCATCTATTCCCTCTAAGACTTTGCCTTTCACTCCAGGACTGACTGAACAGAGACAAGCACAGTGTATTAGTTTGCTTTCTGTTGCTGTGATAAATGTCATGACTAAGAGCAACTTGGGAAAGAAAAGGGTTTATTTGGCTTACACATCCCAATCACAGCCTGTCATTGAAGGAAGTCAGGGCAGGAACTCAAGCAGAAGCAGAGGCCATGGAGGGGTGCTGCTTACTGGCTTGCTCCCCATTGTTTGCTCAGCCTGCTTTCATATAAAACACAGGACCACTTGCCCAAGGGTGGCATGACCCACAGTGGGCAAAGCCATCCCACATCACTCATTTACCAAGAAAATGCCCACCACATGCTCATGGGCCATTCCAACAGAGACAATTCCTCGACTGAGGTTTCTTCTATCTAGGTAACTCTGGTTTGTGTCAAGTTGACAAGAATTAACCAGCACATCCAGACTCTGTCCCACTGAGGTCCTTCCAAAGACCTGAAAAGATTTGTGCCATCTGGGACCTCCTGTTTCCATCCTAGAAGGTGGCATCCTTTTCAGCCAAGGGTCCAGCCCAGATGATATGAAATGACTATGATATGGTATGATTATGGGCTATGGTATGAAAGCACAGGGCGTGGAATAATGGGTCCGAGAAGAGTGCATAACCTCTACTGTGGGCAAGAACTCACTGTGACGTTTGAATGAGAAAGGCCCTCCATAAGCTCATGTATTTGATACATGGTCCCCCTGTTGGTGGTGCTGTTTGGAGAGGTTATGGAACCTTTAAGAGGTGGAGCTTTGGCGGAGGAAGTAAGTCACTGGGGGTGGACTTTGAGGTTATATAGCCTGTCCCTCCCCTCCCCCTTCTTGCTCCTCTTCCTCTTCTTCTGCCCCTCCTTCCTCTATGTGGATGAAATGTGGTCCCTCTGCTGCCATGCTTTCTCTAACATCCCAGACTGTAACCCTTCTGGAACTGTAAGACAGAGTAAAACCTTTCTTCCCCGACTCATGTATGGTCAGCATATTTCATCATGGTAACAGACAAGTTAATACACTGCTCCAAGAGAAACCATGGCCAAGGCCTGACTTTTCCTCTTGGGGCTCTCCCATGCCAGGAAGGATTCTTCTCAGATCAACAGGCCCCCAAGTACACAAGAGAACTCAGATTGCTGAATAAACCCCATGTGTTCCCCTAGCTTCTCAAGAGGCTTTTTATCACCTCTTTGGGGGGCCTTCCTCAGGACCCCCAGTTGGTGCTCACTTCGCCTGGCTGGAATTCATCAGGATTCTAGCCTCTTGAGATCTGTTGGCTGGGATTCCATTACACCACAAAGCACCTGTCCCTCCCCACTACTCCCACCTTATGTCCACTACAGGCTCACTGTCACACCACTGACGTACCTGACCGAGAGGTAATTAGATTATCTTTGGCTTGAATTCATTTTTATGCATTTCTGAAAGGAAGTTCATATCCTCTGTCTATTCGCCCCCAGAAAGAGAGTTTAGGGGTTCAACTATATCTTTGTCAAATTCATATGTTAATATCTGCTGAATAGTTTTATGTCAACTTGATATAAGCTAAAGTCATCAGATAGGAGGGAACCTCAATTAAGAAAACACTTCCATAAGATCCAGCTGTAGAGAATTTTCCTAATTAGTGATTGATGGGGCAGGACCCAGCCCATTATGGATGGTATCACCCTGGGCAGGTGGTTCCGGGTTCTACAAGAAAGCAGGCTGAGCAAGCCATGAGGAGCAAGTCAGTAAGCAGCATCCCTCAATGGCCACTGCATGAGCTCCTGCCTCCAGGTTCCTGCCCTATTTGGGTTCCTATGTTGACTTCCTTCAATGAAGAACAGTGACCTGAAAGTGTAAGTGTAAGAAAAATAAACCCTTTTCTCCCCAACTTGCTTTTTGGTCATGGTGTTTTGTTGCTGCAAAAGAAACCCTAAGACAATATCTTAAACCCCAATGCCTTAAAATGTGGTCTCATTTAAAAATAGTGTCAGCAGATAGGTAGGTAGGCTAGAGTGAGGTCAATGAAGCAATGTGGGTCCCTAGCCCATGACTAATGTCCTCATAAAAAGGGAAATGTTCCCTCTGAATAGGTGAGATAGTTGATTGGCTTGATCAGTTTGGGAGGCAACTAGGCAGTGGGACCAAGTCCTGTGCTCATTCCATGAGTTGGCTGTTTGAAACCTGGAGCTTATGCAGGGACACTTGGCTCAGTCTGGGAGGAGGGGACTGGACCTGCCTGGACTGAGTCTACCAGGTTGATTGCAATCCTCAGGGGAGGATTTGCCCTGGAGGAGGTGGGAATGGGGGGTAGGCTGGGGGTAAGGGGAGGGTGTGGGGGGGGGAGAATAGGGGAACCCGTGGCTGATATGTAGAACTGAATGGTATTGTAAAATAAAATAAAATGAAATAAAATAAAATAAGAAAAAAAAGGGAAATGTTGGGGCTGGAGAAATGCCTCAGTGGTTGCATACTGCTCTTGAAAAGGACTCAGTTTTGCTTCATTTCCCAGTACTGTGATTCCAGCTTGAGAGGGAATCTAATGCCCTTTTCTGGCTCTGACAAGCAACTGCACCCACATGCACATACTCTACACACAGACATACATGTATACACATAAAAAGTATTAAAAATAACTCTTTAACGACAGGACAATGAAAACATCCCAGACAGATACATAAGGAAGATAACATGAAGAGTCATGGGGAAAGTTTGTCCACTTAAAGCCATGAAGGAAGACCTTGCTGTGTTTTGAATGAATGTTTCTACCATTGGCTCATATGTATGAACATTTGGTCCCTACATGATGGAGCTTGGGAAGGTTGTGGAACCTTTAGTGGGTGGAGACTCATGGATGAGGAGGAATCCGGTGGCTTGACCCTAATGTTTTATAGCTCAGCCCAACTTCCTGTTCACCCTGCTTTTTGACAACAGATTCAATGTCACAAGTTGCCTCCTGCTCTGGCCACCACATCTTCCTTGCCATGATGTACTGGATCCCTCTGAACTGTCAGCCAGGACTGGATCCCTTTGAACTGTAAGCCAGGACTAGATCCCTCTGAACTGTAAGCCAGGACTGGATCACTCTAAACTGTAAGCCAGGACTGGATCCCTCTGAACTGT